ACCAGTATCTCGTGGGCAGTTAGCAAAATAAACAGAAAAAGACTGAAGAAAACGATAAAATAACAGAGGGGTTTCTAGTGTTTGGAAGTAGAAATCAGATCGTATTAACAAATAACCAAATAACGATATTTTGCAACTATGAAAATGTAGAAAAAAAAAAAGTTGATTGAATTTGGCCGCTGAAGTAGTGCAAGCAAAGGAACGATATCTGAAGACTAAAATAAAATCAGCGCTGCTTACTTCCTTTCTTTCGCTGAGGCTCAAATCGAAGCGCTGCTTATTGCGTTAGCGTCGCAAAGGAGGGGTTATGTCAAAGGCAAGAATAAAATGACTAAGCTGCACCCAACTACACCTTTCGGTACGTATAATCTTTAATCCCCAATTTTATAACTTCTTCAAATAAATAACTCCGGATTTTGATATTTTTTTTGTGATTGTAGGTTAAAATTAGAGTAATTAATCAACGGTGTATGAAAAAATATACCTTTCATTCGTCTCCACTTTTCATTTTAGATGTTTATATCTTTTTAATTTTTCATATTAACATATATTTTAAGAGAAAAATATAAAAATAAAATAAAATTATATATATACTAATATATAAATATGATACTATTTTTAATAATTATCTTAATCTCCATATTGTTGACCATTATACCATTTTATTTTAAAAAACTTAAAACTAATAAATTAATTATAATATCAGTTAAATTAATATATTTTTATTATTTAATTTTTATTTTTATTTTATTTTTAATAAAAATACGAAATACCTCGACCTAACTGATATATAATAAATTGACTCTCTACTTTATCACCAATAATAAAAAAAAAAAAAACTAATTAAAAAAAGCATGTATTTGACAGGAAAAATACGCGGTCAATGACTGAAAATCTATCCAGCACAACCGGTAAATCTCATTCATAAAATATGGTTGAATCTCGTGTGTACATAAAAAACTCCAGGAATATCATACACGATCATCATATATATTCCCACCATTTTTTCTTTTTGAGCTTTTGTAATTCCTTTCCCGCTTTTACATGAGTATCTGAAGTACTATCTAATCTCATCACTAAATCAATATAATTTATTGGATTATTCTCTAACCTCCACTATACAAACCTTGTCCAATGAACATGCGTTTAAGGAACTATATATACTACTAGAGAGCTCATATGAATTGGGGCTGGACGAGGTGACAGTAACCCATTCTTTGTCAACTTTCTCAACAAAGGAATGTACCTTTGGGATTGCATCAAATTGGAGTTTGTTGCTCTGATTACTTAACTTCTTTACAAAATCCATCGACAATATCATGTCAAAAAAAATTTCCGACTCGGCTATTTTAGGTGAAATTTGTACCCCAATTGTGGCTTCCCGTGAATTAATCAACCCAAGAAGTAGTGAGTTTCCACCAGCAATCTTTTCACTTGGGCAGCATAACTGCAACAATGTATAGCACAATCAGGGAAAGCACATAAAAGGATTACCTTATGAGAAGAAAAAAAAAGCAATGGAGAATAAATGCAAAATCTTCTAAACCACAGAAAATCCCGAACAAATTGCTAGATGTTTAATTTTAATTCAGTATTTTGGCACAGTATTCTAGCAAGAAATGATAGGATCTCTAGAGCCTCAAATATTTCCTATTTGAAAAAAAAAAAAAAAACAAACTCAACATCTGAACAGTGAAAATAATAATGGGAAATTTGATAAGTTATTATTAACTCTATATGCTATTTTGTGTCATGTATGTGGTCTAACAAACTACTGAGAACGAACGCAAGTGGGTATGTCAAAAGAATTTGTTGTGAACATTTCAATAATAAAAATGAATGGGCCCCATGAATCACAATTTGCCGCCCTCCTTGTTTAGAACCTGCATCAAACAGTTAGTGGGCAAAACCAATCATACTGAAAAAATAAAATGTCGTGATAAACACCAGTATCTCGTGGGCAGTTAGCAAAATAAACAGAAAAAGACTGAAGAAAACGATAAAATAACAGAGGGGTTTCTAGTGTTTGGAAGTAGAAATCAGATCGTATTAACAAATAACCAAATAACGATATTTTGCAACTATGAAAATGTAGAAAAAAAAAAAGTTGATTGAATTTGGCCGCTGAAGTAGTGCAAGCAAAGGAACGATATCTGAAGACTAAAATAAAATCAGCGCTGCTTACTTCCTTTCTTTCGCTGAGGCTCAAATCGAAGCGCTGCTTATTGCGTTAGCGTCGCAAAGGAGGGGTTATGTCAAAGGCAAGAATAAAATGACTAAGCTGCACCCAACTACACCTTTCGGTACGTATAATCTTTAATCCCCAATTTTATAACTTCTTCAAATAAATAACTCCGGATTTTGATATTTTTTTTGTGATTGTAGGTTAAAATTAGAGTAATTAATCAACGGTGTATGAAAAAATATACCTTTCATTCGTCTCCACTTTTCATTTTAGATGTTTATATCTTTTTAATTTTTCATATTAACATATATTTTAAGAGAAAAATATAAAAATAAAATAAAATTATATATATACTAATATATAAATATGATACTATTTTTAATAATTATCTTAATCTCCATATTGTTGACCATTATACCATTTTATTTTAAAAAACTTAAAACTAATAAATTAATTATAATATCAGTTAAATTAATATATTTTTATTATTTAATTTTTATTTTTATTTTATTTTTAATAAAAATACGAAATACCTCGACCTAACTGATATATAATAAATTGACTCTCTACTTTATCACCAATAATAATAAAAAAAAAAACTAATTAAAAAAAGCATGTATTTGACAGGAAAAATACGCGGTCAATGACTGAAAATCTATCCAGCACAACCGGTAAATCTCATTCATAAAATATGGTTGAATCTCGTGTGTACATAAAAAACTCCAGGAATATCATACACGATCATCATATATATTCCCACCATTTTTTCTTTTTGAGCTTTTGTAATTCCTTTCCCGCTTTTACATGAGTATCTGAAGTACTATCTAATCTCATCACTAAATCAATATAATTTATTGGATTATTCTCTAACCTCCACTATACAAACCTTGTCCAATGAACATGCGTTTAAGGAACTATATATACTACTAGAGAGCTCATATGAATTGGGGCTGGACGAGGTGACAGTAACCCATTCTTTGTCAACTTTCTCAACAAAGGAATGTACCTTTGGGATTGCATCAAATTGGAGTTTGTTGCTCTGATTACTTAACTTCTTTACAAAATCCATCGACAATATCATGTCAAAAAAAATTTCCGACTCGGCTATTTTAGGTGAAATTTGTACCCCAATTGTGGCTTCCCGTGAATTAATCAACCCAAGAAGTAGTGAGTTTCCACCAGCAATCTTTTCACTTGGGCAGCATAACTGCAACAATGTATAGCACAATCAGGGAAAGCACATAAAAGGATTACCTTATGAGAAGAAAAAAAAAGCAATGGAGAATAAATGCAAAATCTTCTAAACCACAGAAAATCCCGAACAAATTGCTAGATGTTTAATTTTAATTCAGTATTTTGGCACAGTATTCTAGCAAGAAATGATAGGATCTCTAGAGCCTCAAATATTTCCTATTTGAAAAAAAAAAAAAAAAAAAAAACAAACAGAAGCATGTCTATATGTCTGGCACAGAAAGCTTGCAAATAAATAGAAATGGAACACCTTTTAAAAAAATAAAAACCTCACCCACCTGAGAAAGTTGAGATGTAATTTCTCAAACTTCTTTTTAAAAATTTTATATTTCTATCTATGACACATGCAGAATAATCAGACAGAAAAACAGGGCATGAGTAAGTGGGAAAATCTCTCTAGCACTTGTCACTAAAGAGAAAAAATAAGTACAAGAGAAAGAGAAAAAATTAAAATTAAAATCATATGCAATAAAATTCTCCAATTCGTCAACAAACCTCAAATTCCTTCTCATACGCACTGAAAGACATGTTCCTAAGGCTTGTGTCTTAGAATATAAACATCTCTAACCTCCTTTGATTTCATACATAAACTTGGTTGTAAACTTGAACAAGAGAACAGTAGCATAAAAGAATATGCTGCCACTAGAAGATCCACATATCATATAGCAGAGTTTTGCTTTCGTTCATCATAGAATGATTTACCATATTTTGCAAAAGGTAATAATCACTATGCATCTTCACATATTTCCTTATATTACTATTATTACTATTATTTAAAACAGAGTCCTGAAAAATTTTGTGCTTCAGAGTCAAAAAACTACTTAAGAAAAAATTTGACCTTGACCATGATAACTGTACATCAAAGGCTACAATGTAGGACAACTCAGACAGAGGAAAAATCAGAGAATATTTGGCTATAGGTGTGAAGTCCTAGAAACTGCAATAATGAGTCAACCAGTAAAAGTAGATGCATCGAATCAGCGACTAAAAAACCTAACAAAAATCATCTAATCAATCTCAAAATAAAGAGAAGGAAAAAAAAAAATCTAACCTCAATGTACTCTACACCCATGTCAATAAGATTATCTGCAATGCTATGTTTTGAAAACAAGCTAATAAGTCCTCCAGATCCAACAGGAGATTGGAGTATTTCCCAAGGTGATTTCATTAAAATCTTATATTTGTTCTGTCCCTCGGGCAAACTGCTAACTACTGGCAGCTTCTCTTCCTCCAAAAACCATACCTGAAAGAGGGTTAAAACATGAAATCATGCAAGAAGCCAATTACACAAGCATGAGAAGTGCTAGGCACCAGAATTATATTTTAAAATAAAAAGGCAAATGTTATTTTGTTGATGTTGATGCTTGCAGATACCATCAATTCACTTCTACAGTGTAAGATAGACATAATGATATCTTTACAGGTAAATAACATAAGTTAAAGATTACTGCAATATCTGTTTCTAAGCAATGACCAAACAATATTCCATCCTTTACACTTCCCCAGACTAACCAATATGACTGGATGACATATTCCTCGTAATAAAATGTTGACAATGAGACAAGACAAGACAAAACAGTATTAGGTCAAGAAGTAAAAGGTAAAGTATAATTTCATGACGAAAGCCAAGGTAATTTGGACATTAAAGTCATATGAACCTGTTCTTTCAACCAAAATTTCTGAACATCAAGTATAGGTGATTTGGGATAGAACAAGAGATATGCAACGGTGACAAACTTTAGTATATATCTGACTGAGATAATACACAATATAAAAGGAGATCCTTGGTGTGATGTGAACCTTTTCAGAGTCAAATGTGAAGTAATTGTTGCTTGTAAACAGATTTCTTAAAGACTGAATTTGTTTGCTTGATGAAACCAGAATTAAAGGCTCAGACACATGATCTTTGACCTGCATAAGATGCAAATTCGTTAGACGATGAAAAACTATTCAGTATAGTCACTCCAAGTCTCCAAGGTACTTAGAATCTTAGATCAGATAATACCTCACAAATGAGCTTTACTTATATCATCAAGGTAGAAAAGGAAGAAACATATGATAGAAGATAATACATTTTCGGTGAAATAATGGAAATGAAATGAACAAGAAGAACAGAACATTAACTGATGATGTTTTTCTGATCTCTTCGAGTATTTGTTGAAGAGGTTATTGTTCTGTTGTAATTAAATTAAGACATAAGATCAGATCCATCTGATGGTTCATAGAACAAATAGATTTTTGCAACAATAAATCTTTACCAGAAAGATATTTATCAAAAGTAAATAATATAAAAACACAAATTTATAACCTTTACAAAATTTTCACCATCACATAGTACCTTTTGAAGCATGTGAAGTACCGAAGTGTCAATTGCTTCATTTTCAAACATGTTAGAGTCACAAATGCTTCCCTGATGCTCTTTTTCGTTCAAGAGAAGGACAATAGCCATTTTGCCTTCAGACATGAGCTCAAGTCCCTTCTCTTGCATATCTCTAACCAATTTGTTTTCACTTCCATTTGAGAAAGATTCCTCTGATATTTGGATAGAATTTATAAGCTTTGCTTTTATGGCACTAACCAACTCAGCTACTTTCCATCTGATTTATAAATAAAAAAAAACAAAAATGAAAAATCCAGCAAATGAAACCAGGGATAAATAAAAGGAATTTTTCCTTTGTCAAAAAAAGGGGGGGATGGGAAGTGGTGACAGAAAAAGTAATGTAACCTATTTATTGAATTAGTTCAAAATAATGTATTTGAACTAATTCAACTGTGGTATTTGTCAAATATATCCTATACTTTATCTAAAAATTCAAATAAATTACTATAATTTGGCAAAAAATTATCGAGTCTTAACAACCATTAAATCATTAATTAGTAAGGACTGATTTAAAAATCTTTAAGGAGGTAATGGCTTTGTTAAAAACTTTTAAACAATAAGAACGTAGTTAAGAATTTAGTAAAACTATAGGGACCTACAAAGTGACTTAAAAAATTAATGATAATTAAATAAAGCTAAAAAACAACATAGTGAATAATTAAATTAGAAGATGCTAATATGTCCTAACATTTTAGTATAAATAGGGATGGGTACTGATGTCCAAAACCAGTAATTCAACCACCAATGACATTGGGTTATATATTAACTACAATAATTTCTCTTTTTTCTTGTTGTGGGGGTGGTGGATGAGGGTGTCAAGACTTAAAATAACTTCAGTTTAAAATTGAAAGTAAGTTGGAGTAACATTAATTAAAGAAAAAATTTGGTAGAATTGTGTCTAAGTCTCTAAGATGGTTTGGACATGTGTGAAAAAGACTAACCAAGCCTCCAATATCAAATGGAGGTTAGCCTAATAATTAGAATCAGAGGTAGACCAAGAAAGATTCTCTGTGAAACCATTAACAAGGATCTAAAATTAAATGGCATAGCTGAAGAAATAAGAATTGGTTTTGGATAGTACACAACAGCATTGTTCAACTTATGCAGCTGAGCCCACTTAGTGGAAACAAGCTTTCATTGTTGTTATATTAACTTGCCTCTTTGCTGGCTGTTCAAGACTTTGTAAAGCCTCCTGGAGCAATTTGGAGTTTAAGCCAACAATCTGATTACTGAGCAAGCTCCACTGATCTTTCTCTCCATATTGAAATCCATGAAATACATGTTGTTGCTCCATTTCACAGAGTTTCTTTTTTGCTGCTATGAGACGCTTTTGAAACTTTTTCCTTTCTTTCCATTCCTGACACCAATAAGTGAATTGCCCAGAACCAATTATCCACGGCAAAGAGCACCGAGTCAAATATTAATATCACGAAAAAGAAACTAATCCATAAAAGGCAATTTAGAATCCAAATAATACAAGAACAAATATTGAAATGTAAAGCAGAATGCCACCTTATGAAAATCAATATTACACTTGGGTTGGAATAATGCCAATCTGCCAGCATGATTTTCAAACAAATGGAAAGAAAAAAGTACTAAGAATCATATCTAAATTACAGATAATTGAGTTCCGAGTTTTTTTTGTGTGTGTGGGAGTTACAATTATGCCTCAATTCACCAGGTAGAGACTGAGAAATGTAACATGGCATTAGGAATAATCACAAAAATTTAAAGATATCCAGTGACAATAAAAACTCCTAAAAGTAACAAATTAGTATTCAGGAAGTATGTCTCACAAGCTGGCGCCTTTCTTTTTTCGACCTCTCATCAAATCGTAAATTTACTTCTAGGAGTCCCTTGGGCGGTGTAATATGCATTTCTCTTCTTTTCATATCAACGTCTGGAACAATGGCTTCAACAAAAGGTACCAAAACAAGCTGACTAGATGCGTCTATTTCTGTCGACCTTGACTTGCCACTTTTATCAAGCATATCAAAAGATGAATCAAGTACAATTTGTAGTAGGTCATTTGCTCCACTATTGAAAACATTCACAACAGTTCCAACAAGTTTTCCATTTTCCTGATAGGAACAAGCATGGTCAACACCTTCAAAAGTTGCATTGAGAATTAAAAACTCACAATAAGGTGACAAAAATACCAAAGTAAAAAATTCAAAGCTCATTCAAATTAATATAACAAAATATTTAGGTTATTTATAATAGCCTTTTTACATTTTTATCACAATATTAGCACTTGGCATTTCATTTTCCGAATCCTTGGTACACACATGGACAGCTAGCAGCCCGATATGTTTCTGGATAAGAACTTAATAGAAAAAGAATAATCCTGTTTTATGAAAGGCTATAAATTATATGGCAAACAGATGGATTTTCTGTCTTGATAGCACACCAGTGAGAAACACCAAGTTAATGACAGACCTCAAAATATAACAAAAAAACAGCTGATGAATATAGAAGTGATAATTTTGTTTTATTAATAGATAATATTTTAGCAAAAATTTAAATAATAAATAAGGAGAGGAGAAAGTGATTCGTCTTTATATATACACAACATTTGTGATTAGAACAAACCTTCATAAAAACTCTCATCCCTATCAGATCATGTGTGTAAAATTCACCCTCCTCTAATTCCGGCCTGTCTTCTTTTGTCACAAGCAAGGTAGCGCCAATAAGCATCTTAGCCTGCATGATGTATTGATTAGCAAAGGCCAAAAACCATGCATATTATATGATCAAAGTAGGAAATTTGAGGCTTCTAGTTGCAACCACGAGTGCCAGATCCCTTTCTAGGAGGAATAAATAAAGGCGAGTGGCAAAGTGTAACATTTCTGTTAGGCATTGTGGGATCAAACTGACTTAGAAATATGATTAATCAAAAGATAATTCACCAAGGTGCTTCCTTTTTTCTTGAATTAACATATATTGACATAGGGGACATCTGGAAGAGCATACATAGAGCTTATTTGGGCTCATAAAAATAGCTTGAGTTATGTCTCCTATATAGGTTCTTTTCAGTTTATTTTCAATAAGCTAGACTTATCAAAATAAGCTCTTTTTAACTTATTCTAATAACATTCACGGTTAAATTTATGACATAAGCTCTCATGCTAAGAACTCATTGAACAAGCACTACATTATAAGTTGTTTACCAAACACATCCTTACAAGTAACAATCAACACTCACTTTATTCATCCAAGTTAAAGAAGCACCAAACATGGAAGAGAAAGAAAATAAACTGGTTAAAAATGAGTAAATAGTGTATGAATATGAACTAACAGTGTAGAGTATTTTTACACCATCATCCAATCACATTAACTTATGTGTTTATTGGTGATATACTGCCAATGTATCAACTAATCAGAAATCACTATTGGTATGACTTATAAGATAAAAAAAAAACAAATTGTTATGTCCAGAATGGTAAGTTTATTCACTTTTATAATAACTACTAGTTAAAAGTTGATGATAATTTTATTGGTTGTCAATTTTACATAGGCAATGCATAGAAATTAAACTCTAAAAATATTGCAACATCTTCAATTAAATAATACTGTCCATACATGAATAAAATAGGGTGGAATAAAACTAAAACTATAATATTAGACAGGGTAGGAGCTAAGAGGTATTGAAAAACCTGGTCCACTGTGTCAATTCCTCTGAATTTGAGTATCCAACTCTTGAGTCCAGGGTGCTCTCTACCTTCCTCCAGCTCAACTTGTTGAATGGTGTCTCCACCCAAAACCTTGCTCTTCAACCATCTTCTCCCAGGCTAGTCAACAAGCAAGTTACTTAGCCAATTGAATATCCACAAACAAACACAAATAAAAAAAAAAAAAAAAAAATGGAAAACAAATAGTACAGTGGAAAAGCGCAGTTGAGGAAAATCGGTGGTTGGCTTGACGCGAATCTCGCCCTGGACACCGTGAACACTGGATATGTAGCCAATGTTGACGAAGCCCGGTTCGTCGGTGGTGTCGCCGTCGTCGATAACAACCTCGTCGGCTGCTGCAACCGCCGCAACGGAACGAAACTTAACTGAATGCAAAAGGCGTGAAAAATGGATGAAGGAATTGTCAGAAGTGGTGGTATGGGAGTGCAGAGGATAAGGGACGTGTTTGGTTGGAGTTGGAAAAGAAGGTTTGGAATGGAATTGAAGAGAAAGTGGTGGCTGAAACGGGCGTTGGAGAGCATGGAGCGGTGCCTGTATCTGCATTTTGTGCTCTAAGCCTCTAACAACAAAATATCAAACGATAAACTCTTCCTTTTATTATCTTGCTTCACCTCTGTTTTTCCCTCTGATATTTTCTTATGAATTGAAAATGAAACACAAACTCTTTTTAATTAACACTTTATTTACTTTTTTTGTGTGAATAATAAGTTAAGAAGAAAAAATATTTATAAATAAATAACCAATGAGCTAAATTTTTGAAAGATGTGAAAGTTTTGGACGGGTATATCAAAATACCAACATTTTACGAAATTAGAATATTTATTAATTATTAATTTTAGAGCAAATTATACTCTTCTTTATGAGAAATACAATATCATATCTTCTATGAGATAAGAATGTTTTACTATTCTCTTCTCTTATATTATAAGTTACATTCCTCTCTTTCAACAAATTTTAATATATAACATTATTTATTTTTTAAAATTTTTTGTTAAAAATAATATTACCAAAATATCTTTTACAAGAAAATTTTAATATGAGAATTCTCATATGTAAATATTACACTGTCATTCCTTATTGTATTAAAATAAATATTTTTCTTTTTTAACATATACAATATTATACTTCAACATTTTATTTTTTGGTGAAAAAAAATTATCTCATGATTTACATAATTATTATTTTAAGAATTCTTATGATTTTTTTATAATTAATTATATATTTAAAATAAATATTTTAATTATTAGAATATTTTAAATTTATCAAAATAAAAAATTATATATATAAGTATAATAAAATCAGACAATATAGTATTTAATTAATGTAGTTAATGTGATATTTTATAAATATTTAAATGAAATAATTTGTTATTATATAATAGTAATTATAAATTAAATTATGGCAATATATAAGTTTATTTTTTTGGAACTCAAAAAGATAAAACATTTAAGAAATATCTAACTAAAATGATATTTTTTTGATAAAATATTATTTAACATATTTTTTATTTGGTAAAATATTATTTAACATATTTAATAAAATACGTATATTAAACATATAATTTTTAAAATATTTTTATATTACAAATATATAATAAAATAAAATGTAATTATTACAAAATTTAATATATATATATATGTGTGTGTAAATTGACCTACGTATAGTTTATTTTATTAATAAATTTCCTAATTTATTTTTATATTTTATAATTTTTATAAAGTGAATAAAAGATGATAAACAAAAAATATTTTGACATAAATTTTAATCAGAAGTATATTTTAAGATATTACAGTGAATATTTTTTAGAATGTTAGTTAAATATTTTAAATTATATATTTTAATGAAAAATGAAAATGATAATATAATACTTATATCTTACAGAAATAAAAATATAATTATTCTATATTTTAATATATGAAGTGAGGATAATAAATATTTGTATCTTTCATTAAAAAAAAGTGCAATTTACTTTAATAACATTAAATTAAATTATATATTTTAACCAATTAATTTCACAAATTATGCTTTTGTATCTAGTGCTTTTTTTTTATTTATTATTTTGATTATCATCTTCAGTTTTTATTACTAGTTTAGCCTAATCTTCACTCAACTTATTTAAAACAAGGGAAAATCTAAATAATAAAAAAAAACAAGGGAAAATTACATGCCTCTCTCTCTCTTTTTTTTTTTTTTTTTTTAAATCCATACATATATAAACATGATTTCTTATTTTGGTGTACACATTATTTTGACAAGTTTAACTTTTTTATAAAAATTGCATAATAATAATTAATAAGTGATAAAAAAAATATATGAAGGTTTTATCTTTGAAACTGTTTGTAATTACACTATTTCCATGTATTTAAAGGAGAACTTCATGGAGGCACAAAATGCAATCTTTTTCATCGATAAGAATTAAAAAAAAAAAGTGCAATAAATTATTTTAAAAAATAGTTAAAAAGTAAAATAATAGATTATTTGCATAATATTTAAAAGATAAAACACGGTAATATTAGGTTATAAATTATGTTGAACACTAATAAAATTAAGGTGACAACACTTCTTAACAATTTTTTGACACTTTTTTTTATTAGTTGAAACTTGAAAGTTATTGGAATTCACCAACTTTTGTCAGTCACATATCATATTTAAAAAATCCGTTGTAACTTTGCAATTTTCAATGAATTTTAAATAACAAAAGAGTATGATAAAATGTTTCACTAGTCTCTTAACGTAATTAGGAGTGAGTGAAAAAGAGTTAAGACAAATTTATCTTAACTTTGACTTAATTTTTTTTTATAAAATCATTTTGAGAAAGACTCAAAATATATAAAACATTACTAATCAACCAACCTTTTAATATATTATATCAACATTAACATTACGTGTATAACTAAAACGTGCAATAAAAAATATAAAACTTTAATTAAGTAATATAATTATAAATACAATATCATATTATATATAATATGATATATTAAATCTAATTATTAAATTATATATATATATATATATATATATATATATATATTACACTTTCTAAAAAAATATAATTATGATAAAACAAGACATAACTTGAACTCATCCTTAAACAAATCAAGTTCAAGTTAAAGATTTGTTTATCAAAGTTAGCATCTAACATGAAAAGTGAATAATTTCTCTAACAATTATTAAATTATATATATATATATATATATATATATATATATATTACACTTTCTAAAAAAATATAATTATGATAAAACAAGACATAACTTGAACTCATCCTTAAACAAATCAAGTTCAAGTTAAAGACTTTAATTATGAAAATTAACTTCAAATGATTAAATTAATAAGGTGAATTAGGTCATGCTTGTCCCTAAAAATAATTTATAATTTATAATTTTAAGTTTTTTATTATTTATAATCTAATAAAGAAAATGAGTATTTAAATCTCTAAATTTCACTTTTTTTTATAAAGAATCATAAATTTTAATTTTATTCCAATCATTCTTTAAATTTGATCACTTTTTTTATAATCAAAATTATAACAAAGATATCGAGTTTCAGACATAAAACTTTGTGTATACTACTCCAATCTCATTAATAGAGTAATTATAGTAGTTCTTAATTTGAGTATTTTTTACAAATAAATATCTTTTAATTTTAATTTCATTATAATTCATCTTTAATATTTATCATTTTTACAAGTATTTTTTTTAATAAATTTAAGTTAAAATAATTATCTTAAATTTCAATCATTCATTATTTTTTTTACTCATTTGTTACATATTTTTTTAAAAATAATAAAATTATAAATTTCAAAAAAGGGAGAATAATAAAAAGTTAAAACTCTTTATTTGATTTCTTTAATCGTATATTTTATGATATTTTTTTATTTAAAAATTGTAATCACAATAACAAGGTTTGAATAAGGATGTTGTATTTATATGTATATTATAAAAAAAAAGTTACTATTAAGTTAATTATAGTAGTTCAAATTTTATGATATTTTAATAAATAAAAAGAGACTTATAAAAATAAAATTAATAATTAAGTATGATTTAAAATAAATAAATGATCAATATTATTTTTTAATAATTTATTCTAATATAACATAAAATACTATTTATAACAAATAAAATTTAAAAATTAATTAAGATAAAATATAAATTAAGTTTTTTTTATATACAAAAATGATAAAATTTAAGCATCAATATGACAAAATTAAAGTGAGAAAAAAGACTGCACTGGCGATAGTTTTGGTGTCTAAGACTCTAAATGCTAACAGGATAAATTTTAAGAAAATTAAGTATATAATATTTATTTACAAAGTTTAGGGGAGTTAATAATATTTTTTCCATTAAAAAAAAGAAGTTTCTATTATTTTAAAATAAGTTAAAAAAAAAACAGATAGAAATTAACAAGGCGGTGCAGAATGCAGCGAGAGGCGTTGTGCACGGACCACGGTATAGAAAGGGCAAAACCCGAACCTGAATCTACCTTTCTTCTCACTCTCACCTGAACGACGCTGTCTTCATTCTCTCTCATTGTTCTCTAATGGCATCCACACTATCATCAGGTAAGCGTTTAACGTTACTGCTTCTCCTCCTTTTCTTATTAATTGTTGTTATTCTGCATTTTATTTGATTTTGTCTCATAACATATACGTGCAGTTCCTTCTCTGAATAGATCGAGTCTTTAAACTCCGTAGAATTCATACTTATAAGTTAGGCGCTGCTTCTTATCTTATTACGCTGTGTTTGTTATTTGTGTGGCTACTTCCTCAGATAGGATTAGAGTGCTGTTGTAATCTCTCAACTAGTTAAATAGTGTAGCATTATAGGTTGATTGAAGAAAAAGCCAAAAAGCATCAACGTGTAAGACAAAGGTATTAAGAATTTCAGCATTTATTGCTCTGCACCTGCAAAACATGTAGAGAAAAACGGTAGCTAAAGAATAAGGGTTGGAAAGAACTTGGCGTTTTGTCAGTGGTAAAGTTTTGTTGGCAGCGGTTTCAGAACAAACTGATTTAGAGAAGCTGTCAATATTTATGAACTAAAGACATATCCTATGGTGCATTCGGATGTTTCATTGAGCCAAGTGTTCACTGTTTTATGTTAATGGGTTGTAGTCAACTATATAATTTAAGAATTTTGATCCATGACAAACTTTAATTGAAGGTATGTTTGGTAGGATGGAAATAAATAGGTGAGAAATGGGATAGCGAGAAATAGATGAGAGGAAAATAAGAGTAGAAATAAGAATTTTTGGTAGGAGAGAAATAGAAAAGAAAGAAATGCAAAAAATAAATAAAAAAATTTAAAATTAATTTTTAAATTAAATAATTGATTAAAATTTTAATCAATTAAATTGACAATACATACATTTCTCAGTGAAAAACTGAGAAACAATTGATTACCAAAAAAATTCAATCGATTGATTTTGAATGTTAAATGTGTTACTGTTCATTTTTTGCTGTTTTGCAAAGAAATAAGAATGTGTGGGACCCACACCTTTTTTTTCCTTCAGTTGTGAGTTTTGTCATTACCAAATGGGCAAATTTTGTTTTTTCTCTGCTCTCCTCTCTCCTTGCTCATTTTTGTCTGTAACAAACAGACCGTTAAGGTTAAATTGCTATCAGTATCAAATCAAACAAAGATGTATGTTTAGTGTTGAACAAAATGAAGTTCTCCAAGTGGTTGCTTACTTGCATTGCATATGGGAATGTAATTGGCTTTGTCTGGCCAGCATGTATTGGCATTTTGCAGCATAGCCTGTTAGCATGTATGTGCATGAAAATTTTTAGTTTTTTTTTTTACTTATTTATTTTTCAATATAGACGCTTCATCATACCCTTTTGGCAAAATATTATAACATTTTATACCTGTCTGTATAATGTAAGGAATGCCATGTAGGTGAGGTAGCTTATTGTAATCTTTTCACTTGTACCTCGTCCCGGTACCCTTTATTTTTCTGGGGACCTTCTTGTATTTTAGAGACTACTTGTTAATTAAGAGATGTATATTTCATTAGTTACTTTATTGCATTTTAATTATCTCATGTTCTGTAAAGGTTATTTTTTCATTCAATCAATCTTTGCTAGCAACAACACAGTGTTGGTTATTATCCATTTATTTTATTTTTGCAGCCAGTGCTGACAATCTTGACCTTCAAGAAGTTGTTTCTAAAGGCTCATTAGATTTTGATGAATGGATCTTACTGATTTCAGAGATCGAGAAACTATATCCTGTAAGTTTGATTCCAATAATAAGAAACTCATGTTTAATATGTATTGTATGAGTATGACTACGTCTTAAATCTTAATTTAATTTTAATCTCATCATATTTAACTAAATAAATTGAGTAATTAAACTATTGCCTTTGTTGATTCTCTAAAGTTGGATGATTTCATCCCTCTTCTCTAGCTCTGATTTTTGTTTTTGATTCTGGTAGGAAAAGAAAACTTGAGTTTCACTCAACTTTTGCAGTAGTTGTGTAGATGATTGTTAAGGATGGTTTGAAGTTAGATGGTTTTCTTTCTCTTTCTCTGACCTTTGTTTTTTTTTTTTTTTTTTTTTGGATAAACCAAGACTTTATTAACCCAAAAATGAATTACAGAATCAAAGGAAGCCCTCTTAAATTATCCAAAATACCAAGGGAAACCAACTAGAACTAAAAGTAGTAAATTGGATTAAACCAACTTTTGAGTGCCTCTTTCATATACAACAAGGAAATTTCTCACGTAGGATGATAACATGCTAATGCTGAAGTTGTATTCAAATTTTAGGGGTGTTTCAGATGTGATATTGATGAGATTATTCTCTTCACTAAAGTAACCAGTAAGTTGAATGATGGGTTATGTGTGATTTTCTAATAAAAAATAAATAAAAATAGTTGTTGGATATGCTTATTAAATTACGCTATCGTCTGTCATAGAATATCTAATGAAAAATTCAAATATTTTCCATGGAACATTTTATTTCATAGAAAAGAATCACCTTGTATACGAAAAAATTATAGGTTTTTTCTTAATTTAAACTTCACTCTGTGTAGGCCTCTTCAAAATTAATTCACCAATTATGAGCATAATAATATATTGAGATGGTCATGAACATAGTAACTATCGCCATTTCTTATTCTTCTATTTACTTTCTTTCTCAATGTCCTCTCTTGATAATACTTCATTTTACATTTGTATGAGACAGTGAGAGTGTATACTGTTTATTTATTTATTTTCCTTTCTTTCTTGACCTATCATTACATATGTGATTAAAGTTATAAAAGGTTTAGCTCCAATGCTGTAATTTGTTGTCAATCTTTTTTGTTTGCATCATAGTATTGGTTCATCACTTCATTGTTATTGTGGGATTTATGGGTACAACAGAGCTTGAATGTCAACAAGATCTTTGGATCAATTTCTGCAGGATGATGCGGACAAAATATGTTTGGTGTATAACCATTTCTTGTCCAAATTTCCTTTGTGTTATGGGTATTGGAGGAAGTATGCTGCCCACATGGCAAGCTTATGCACCACTGATAAGGTTGTTGAAGTATTTGAAAAAGCTGTATTAGCAGCAACATATTCAGTGGGCATGTGGGTTGATTACTGTAGCTTTGGCGTGTCAGCTTTTGAGGACCCATCTGATATTCGGAGGTAAATATGTGCACACAATGTAGAGTAGAAATTTTTTGGGCAAATGATTTAGGTGGAGCTCTTCCATTGTCCATATGTTTTGACACTATTACATCTCCATGCACTCTTAAAGCTTTTACTACACACACACAAATAGTAATAGTTGTAGAAGAAACTCTTTGGATAAATGATTTAGATGGACCTATTCCAGTATCCATTTGTTTCCACACTGTTACCTCTTCATACTCTTTGAATGCTTTTACTCTTGCTTATGCTGAAAGACAATGAGATGATTTTCTTGATATATTTTAATCAGATTGTTTAAGAGAGCCATTTCCTTTGTTGGGAAGGACTACTTATGTCATATCTTGTGGGACAAGTATATTCACTTTGAGTTTTCCCAGCAGCAGTGGATTTCTCTTGCTCACATTTATATCCAAACTCTAAAGTTCCCAACAAAAAAGTTGCATCAGTATTATGATAGGTATGTCTTTTATTGTGAAATTTCTCTGTGTCTTTACAGCTGCTTTGAATAACTGATGGAAATTGATGTTTAAACATTGTTTTTTACTAGGCTCTGAAGTCATACCTTGTAATAACTCTTAAGCCCATCTTCTTGTGCTCCTTTTCCCTCTTTGCTTGTGGGTTATTCTTGAAGTTGATAGCTTGTATTGTTATGAGGTATGAAATATAATGGGTTATGTTTACAAATTTGACGACAGCTTATCTGATAGAGTGGGCTACAGATAGAGAGAATACTAGTAAGGAGATAGCTTTCAATTTTATCCCCCAGTTTGAGTGAGGGAGTTTGCTATGTTACCGTTGGTGAGCCTTACACATTGTCTGGTAAAACCCAGCTAATTATTTATTTTTTGTTATAGACATATGCTTGAATGCCTTGTAGCTGTAGGGTAGTGCACTAGTGCTATTAGATATGTTCCATTATTTCTACAACAAGGATATACGAAAGTATGAACTATATTAAAAGGCATTTTATATTCCCGAGGCCCTGTGGTGATTGTTGTGAATTATCTATATAAAGTGGTGGATTAATTATATATTTGAGAATTATGTTAAGTTTATTTTGCAACTTAATAATACTTTTCTTATACCTTGGGTGGTTGGGTAATAGTTGTTGAGAATTTCTGATGCATGACTTGGGTGAGCCTAATGGTCTTTGTTAGTCATTACAGTGAGCCCTGATTCAGGCCATGACATCTGTTTCACAGTATGTTTTGTAGTTTTGATTCTTCTGATTACCTAAATTTAGAGTTTTAAAAATCGGTTTAGACAGGCTAGTAGTTTAGCAGGTTTGAGCTATTTATTGGGTTGGACATGTTGAGCTTAGGAGAGCTTGAAGCTTAAAGGAGTTTTGATGATCACAATGTGTGTGTACAACAACAACTTGGAAGCACAAAAACAAAGTCAGAGAAAGTCAAGAAAATGCTATGTAATAGAGTTTAGAAAATAAAGTGTTTTGAATGAGTTTTTATGTTGTGTGTGCTTAGTATGCTTTGTGCATAAGCAAAATCTATATCTGAGCTAAGTAGAGAGTATATGATGATGAGTGAAAAGGTTGGAAAGTTATTTTGAGACTTAAAATGGAGTTTTGAAAACTAACTCAAAATAATCGATTATCGTTAAATATAATCGATTATTCCAGTAACAGGCAAAATGGGATGCCTTGCTGCAATAATCGATTATTTGCCAAAATAATCGATTATCCCAGGAACAACTCTCTGGAATAATCGATTATCCAGCAAAATAATCGATTATATTGTTCTTGGTTCATTTCCAGAAAACCTGAAGAACAAAATAATCGATTATTCTTTAAAATAATCGATTATCTGCGTCTGAGACTTTTATAAATAGTTTGAACTTTGAGAAACTTCAGACATGAGTTAGAACTGATAATCAAATTGAGAAAAACGTTTTTGTGGAGTCTTTGTGACATCTTGGAGAGTTTTCTTTGTGAATCCAAGAAGAGAAACGTTTATGAAAAACATTGAAAGGAGATCATCATCATCATATCATTCTTGAAAGGGGAAGATTAAGATTTGTGTCAAAGAATTCCAGGTGAATTCGTTCCTTTATTCTGTGTGAATACTTGTAAAATCTTGAGAAGGGTTTCTCAAGTGGTAAGGTTTCTTGTAGTGGGTTTCTACAAGGGGTGCTTTCTTGGGGTCAAGAAAGTGGTTATCTTTTGTGTTGAAGTATATGCATGTGTGTGTGCTTGTAAACCTTCTTCCTTGAGATAGTGGAACAAATCTTGATCAGGTGCTGATTAAGGACTGGATGTAGGTCACATGTGGAGTGGCTGAACCAGTATAAAAGACTTGTGCAATCTTCTTCTACCTTTATCTTTTACTTTGAGTAATTGCTTGATTGAATATTAAAGAAGATAATTCTTGATTAACTTGTGTGTGTGAATATTGATGATTTAATCTGAATTAGAGCATTACATTTGAACCTCACTATTTTGTAATCAAGAAAGCATATATCATTCATACTTCCATAACAAGTCACTGTCGAATTAACATATCTGAATTAGCTCTGATACCAATTGTTGCGGGTTGCATCAATTGTCCCGTGGCGGAGG